AGACAGGGTTTCTCTGTGTAGCTTTGCACCTTTCCTGGAACTCACTCTGTAGCCCAGGCTGGCCTTGAACTCACAGAGATCCCGCCTGGCTCTGCCTCCCAAGTGCTGGATTAGAGGCATGTGCCACCACCGCCCAGCTTCATTTCATTCCTGTCCTTTCTAATCTGCCTTCCATCCATGTGCTGCCCCCCCCCCTGCGCCCCACCATTGAAAGCAAAATTCAAGAGGAAGAAAATAAAATGAAAAAAAAATTAAAGGAATTAAAAATCTTATCATGGAACTGGGCCTGGTGGCACACGCCTTTAACCCCAGGAATCCAGAGACAGAGGCAGAGGCAGGAGGGTCTCTGAGTTCGAGGACAGCCTGTTCTACAAAACAAGTTCCAGGACAGCCAGGACTCTTGATACACAGAGAAACCCTGTCTCAAAATAAATAAATAAATTGAAAAAAATAAACAAACAGAAATCTTGTCATGAGATGCTGCAGTGTGACCCAACAAGTCACGCCGTATACCCCTTTGTCCATACATATCTACTTGCAGCTGTTCGCTGCCAAGAGTCACTGGTCTGGTTCAAGGCCCCCGGTCTCCCTATACAATCAGTGCTGGGCCCCTGTAGGACTCTTCCTAGATATACCACTGGTGCTGTGTGTTATGGAGATCCTGCAGCTTTGGGCCCGCAGGTCAGGTCCCTTTCTGTGTTCCAGCAGATCACAGACAAGGTGGATACGGGGGGCAGGCCAAGTCATCACCCTGGGGCTGGGCAACTGCAGGACTGGTCTGCCAGATGGGAAATGCGGACAGCTCTCCCACGGTCACCATTTCAGGGCTGGCTCTCCCACACCTACGCTGCTAACAGGGTTGGCTCTCTTGTGCTGCCCAGGAGAGGTGCAGGGCCTGTTCTCCTGAGTGTCGCAGCTGGTGGGGGTCAGGGCCAGCTCTCCCACCTGCCTCCAGCATTGATGGAGGGTGGGCTGGGGTCATTCCCCAACCCATGCCTCCACAAGACAGATGAGAGGTGGGGACATCACTCTCATGCTCACAAGTTTGGGGCTAGCTGACCCAGACTTTGCTAACAGGGCTTGGCTCTATTGTGTTGCTCTGGTGTGGTGCAGGGCCTGTGTTAACGATAATTGTTACTGGTTCGAGACTCTCAAGAGAAGGATCACCAAGGCTACTCTTGCCTGCGACTCTGGGACTTGAAACATTTGGGCCTGCCTCAATTACATAGCACATAGGAAGCCAGCCAAGGCTACAGGAGAGCCTGTCCCAAAATAAAAACAAATGTCCTGTACTAAAGCTTGTCCCCCCCCCCTCAAATCCTCTAAGTGCCAGTTTTCTTTTGGGTAAAGGATGGCTGTGTGAAGATGAAGATGGATAAGTGCTGGGTCACGATGGGCATTTCATACACGTCCCATCTCACCCTCCAGAGAACTGTATTATTCAACGACAAAAACCATACTTATCTCACGTACAGTCTATACATCTATGATCTAAATGTGGAGAGAATCAATCTGGCATCACAACTGTTCCTGACACTTCATTCCTTCTTTTGTAACCATGTGTACCAAACAAATCCCTGGTGTGTCAAAATGCAAGATCCTCATGTCACCTGTGTACAGAGGCAATGCTGGCACATGGCGGGGAATGCTTTAAGGAGTGTCTTAAGAGTTTCTACTGCTGTGGTAAAACACAATGATGAAAAGCAACTGAGGGAGGAAAGGGTTTATATCCATTTACATTTCCACAACTGAGGGAAGTCAGGACAGGAACCCAAACAAGGCAGGAACCAAGAGGCAGGAGCTGATGCAGATCCCAAGGAGGAGTGCTGCTTACTGGCTTGTTCCCCATGGTTAACTCAGCCTGCTTTCTTATAGCATTACTATCCCAGGACCACCAGTCCTGAGGTAGCACCACTCACAAAGGAATGGGCCCTCCTTCAATCACTAATTACAAAAATGCCCTAGACTCTAGAGGCTTGCGTACAGACATGAAGGCATTTTCTCAGTTGAGGTTCCCTCCTCTCAAGGTGACATGGTAACTACCCAGCACAAAGAGTTTTGTGTGTTAGTTTAGCTTTTGACACCCAGAACCCGCTTTGGAAGTTAGCCAAACACGGGAAACCTCACCCGGCCCGGACACGGACAGGATTGACAGATTGATAGCTCTTTCTCGATTCCATTCTGCTCCATTTTCAGATGGTACAATGAGGTCTCGGGGATGTGTTCTTTCTTCCTCCCCAAATCTAGGTTGTCTCCCAATTAGACCCAAAGGTATGAAAAGTCTGTACATGAAACCCTCTGCGCCAGTGCAAGGCCGGCCCTGGGTTCTGTCTTCAGTCCCAGGTGCTCCCTAACTTCCAAATCCCAACTGCACAGACTGAAGCGAACACTGAGCTGGTGATGTTGCAAAAGCCCTCCATCAGAAAAAAGGGATGCCACGAAGAATTCCGTTTGTGTTTTCAGGATTAGGATTTGAGAACCTGGGACCTGAGGCAAATGCTTTACTACTGAGCAAGCCCAAGTGGCTATTTGTGAGTCCATTACTTGGTGGGACTAAGTGTCGGGCTCTGGGATAAATGAGGTAAGCCTTCGTGGAAATCACTTGCTTGGCCAGCTCCCAGCGGAGCACCTGACAGTGGAGTTCTCTTCCTTCTTTAGAGGCCAGTCTCCAGAGTGCTTTGTGGTGCTGGGAGGGGAGGGGAGGGGCGGGTGGGCGCAGTGCCTGGGTACTTTATCCTCTGCCAAGGGTTGCCTGCAGGGGAGGCGCCGCATCCTGATGACCGAGCAAGGGCCATGTCATCGCGCCCAGTGCAGACTGCAGTTCTCTCTGGCTCTCTCTCGGATGCTAAGGGTGCGCTTTCAGAGCAAAGTGCACGCTGCTCCTCCGGGTTTTATTGTGCCCTCATGCGCTATCAGCATCCCATTGCAAATTTATCAGTCTGCAATGGTAATTTGGCTCCACTCTTTTTTAAAAATGTGATATGAAGCTTTAGTTAGTGAGTTAGCACTCTTTTCAGGGAAGCCCAAAAACTGGACTTTGAGATGTCTTTCCAACAAGGGCCGCACAGGAGAACATTGGACAGAAATTCCAGGAGGCGCGGCCAGGCAGACCTCCAAAGTCCATCTGTGGGTACAGAATGGGGATGCTGGCTTGGGAATCTAGTGATACAGCAAGAAAAGTTAGTGTGACAGAGCATGCCTTTAATCCCAGCACTTGGGAGGCACAGGCAGGTGGATCTGTGAGTTCCAGCTCAGCCTGGCATGAGTTCCAGGTCAGCCAGAACTACATAGTGAGATCCTGTACTACTCTTTCGGGATTCACGGAAACCATATCAGATGGTTCACAACCGCCTTGATACTCAAGTTCTGGGAGATCTGACTGCAGCTCTAACTCTTCTGGCCTCTCTGGGTATCTGCATTCACATATAGATGCCTATACATACACGTAATTAAAAATGACTAAAAAAAAATCCTTTAAATAATGAAAGAGTAAAGGGGGGCTGTCACGGTGATGAAGGAAGATGAGTGGGCATTAAGAAGCATGTTTCCTGGTACCCCTCTTCATTGTCATCTGATGATCACATAACATAAGAGACACAGTGACTGAAACAGAGCTTGCCATAGTGACTGCACAGTGAAACTCTGGCACAGAACTCTAACACCCCCCCCCTCACAGTCCTTTAGAATGTTGAGGGCACATGTTCAAGCCTGCTCCGTTCCGTCCCAGCCCCCGAACCCCACATCTTTGGAAATGAAAGAAATAGGTGTCTACTTCTACAATTAGTGTTATTTTGATTTTCCTTTTGTTTTAAATGCTGTGCTGATCACGACAGCATTTATTCCCAGAACTTGTCTGTTTCACAATGAATCTGTTTGTCTGTCCTCCTCACAAGAGGCACATGATGCTTTTTAAATGAAGAACGAAGGCCCGAATCACTTCCCCCTCTGGTCATTGCTTTCTCCCTGTGTATTCCAGGTAGCCAGACCTGAGGGGCAAGCGAGTGTCCCCTTTGGCCCTTGTAAAAGAAATGACAGTTTTTGCATACAGCGACCAGCCACATGTGGCTGGCCCTCGGTAAGGATTTCCGGACTGACGATAATCTCAAGAGCCCTCCTCAGCAACTGACCCTTTGTTTGGACACCCTCTGACCAAACACCAAAGGGTATTTGAACACCTTTTACACCAATATTCTGTTGTATAATTGATTCTGTGATATTTTATGACATCTTGGAATTGGTGAGAGTGGGGCTTTATGCTGCTCTGGATGATATTGCCTTCATGAGCACGATAAATAAAGGGGGCTGGGAAAAGATGACATCTTCTTATCTATCTCTAGATAACAAGTGTTGTCAATTTATATTATATTTGTGTATATAAAGATGTACATATACACACATATATGTATAGATATATATACACATATATGTATGTATATTTAATTTATATATATATATATTTTTTTTTATTTAGAAGAGATTCAAAGAAATGACTACCAGGAGCCAGAAGGAAAAACTAACTTATTTTTTAAAAGGACATTCTGCTGGCATGAATGCTGTAATGTGGCATCTGGGGAGCCCAGGAGGAGGACCGATTAGCTATCAGTCCCATTATAGAGCAAAATGTCTCACTAGTGGTTAGCAACAGCACCCCCATAAGCCTGGGTTATCTGTTGTTAGTGGTTAGCAACAGCACCCCATAAGCCTGGGTTATCTGCTGTAATAAAAGGAAGGGCTTATCTCAGAAACTAGTTACTCATCAGAGAAACTATTTATGCTGATATTCTAGATGAGGCTGTAAAGGAACACAAGTCTCATACAGCTACAAAGCACTGCTTCCCACAACACAGCCTGTTAATCATTAGAAGTGTGAGCATCCTCGTGCCGAGACCGGACCTGGCAATCCACCTGAAGAAAAACGTACAGGTCTTTCTCAACTCCGCATTCAAGTTATCAAGTCTTTTTGTTACCCGCCCTTAACTTTGAGCAGGTGAGAGACTGGCTGAGCTGACGTTTCACTTTCCCTCTCGCGGAGCGTTTGTTTTGGTTTGGTTTGGTTTTCAGATTTGGTCATATCCTTTCCCTTTTACAAGTAAGTTCTCCCACATCCTCCCCAGCTCCCTACCCAGTCAAGTTCTTGCACCTTCCACCTTCTCTCTTTAATGAAAAACAAACAAACAAGCAAATGGATAAATACACACTCACCAAACCCAAGACCCAAGACACCACACCGCAACTACAACAAAACACAGAAAACCACACAGTCCATTTCTCTCCGCTGACTACTCCTGCACATGGAGCCTGTCCTGGATCATGGTTGACAGTGTCAATCTATTGGAGAAAACTGAGTTTCCCTCTCCAAGCATGTATCAGTTGAAAACAGCTTCTTGGCTAGGGGTGGGACTTTGTGTCTCCTTTTCTCCTTCTCAGTTGCAGAGGCTTTTATTAAACCACGAATCATCATAGTTGAGCTTTAGAAAAGTAAGGAAGACATTCGACTAAAATGGACAGGTGGATTAAAATAGGCAAGGGCCTGTTTCTTCTTTCAGATCATCAACTTGGTGCGCAGGGCCTATGTTTAAAATGGGAGTGGGGGGTGTTGGATGAAGTGAGGGACAGATGACTAAGACATAATCTGTGCTTTTCAGAATTCACACTCCAGGAACAGCAGCAGACTGTCACACAGATGCCCAAAGGCCATTCTACCTGCACTCAAGGGCCACAGAAAATGGGGCGTGCGCAGACTTAACTTTATAGAACCTTTTTTCATTATCTATCTATCTATCTATCTATCTATCTATCTATCTATCTATCTATTTATTTATTCTTAACTTTCGGCTTTGGGGACGGGATCTCTCAATGTAGCCCTGGCTGTCCTGGAACTCACTCTGTAGACCAGGCTGGCCTCAGATCTCTGGATCTTCCCACCTCTGCCACTTGAGTAAAGACATGTGCCGCCGTGCCCAGTGCACTTGTAGATTAAAAAAAAAAAACACAAAAACTCTCTGCTCCTCTTATTCACTTCGGTTAGAATAACTCCTGAATCCAAATGTAATTTAAAAGTGAAAGAAAAGGAAAAACAGAAAATGGGGTGATGTAATAGCTCAGGGGGTGTCAGCACTTGCTGCCAAGGTGATGAGCCGAGTTCAATCCCTGGGACCCAAGGCCCGAAGGAGAGAGCAGAGGCCTGCCAACTGTCCTCTGACTTTACCTGCAAATCATTCCCTCCACAACAAATAGACAAATGCTCGCATGTTCTACTATCTAAACATTCTCATTACAAGCAATGCCCAGGTACTATTTTTTTTCCCCTAGCAAAAAGCAAGCAAACAAAGCTCTGAAGGTGGGTCACCATTTCATTTTGCAGCTATGGCGACATTTATATACGTATATTCAAAAGCAGTGAGAAGAAAAATCAGAACCCAAACTACCCGGAAAGCCAACTTAACAAATTTCAATAAGAACCTGCTTCAGGCAAGACAGACACATGGCTCCCTTATAGTGTTTTATAAAGAACACAGATGACTTATCTGGAAACCCATATAGTAAATTGCTACAAAGTCCAAGAAAAAAAAAATGACTTCACATTAACAATAATTAAACAAGCACTGGAACAATACTGAGCCAGAGAACTAACAGTCAGTAAATCTCTAATCAGTTGCTGCAATGCAGGTAGATTTATTTCCCCCTCCCAGGTAACCGAGAGGCCAGCATGCTTCCAATTGTGTTGCCGCTGCTCACAATACAGGGACCTGGCTGGTCACATGTGCCAAGGCTAGGCTATGTTGGCCCTTTCTACTTCTCCAATGGAGTGCCAAAGGATCTCCATCAAGCCTCTGGTGGAGGTGAACACTTCGAGGAGGGGAGAAAGCTTTCACTACCTATCTGCCTCTTCCTTTTCATTCCCACAAGCCACCAGGGATGGGGAGTGAGTTTCCATCCATTCCCCCTTCCATTAAGGTCAAGACCAAGAAGTCCCCAGAACCTAGTAGGCACATGTCTCTCTTTTGCTGGAATCCATCTTACAGGTGGATATTAGAATCATCTGGGTTGTACATATTGTTGATATGGACTTGAACTTCTTCCCAATTCCCCAGGCCCTCCTCCAAGGTGCTTTAGCACACCAGAGCATGGGAAGAGGTGGACACTGGGACAGTTATCAGTGGACGGGCTGATCTCCGGGCAGAATGGCAGCAGTAACTAATGAGAGTTGCCTGTGATCGTGGCAATCAGCTCTGTTCATGTGGATGCGTCATCTTGTCCATGGCTCCAGTAACGATAAGCAGGATTTCTGGTAAGTCTCCTTCCTATCATCCCAGGTCACTGAAGCTCTCTCAGGGGCATCACCTGTTAGTTGCTGACATCTCCCTGTGGGGACACTGGGCTATAGCAACTACCAGAAAACAAGGTGTCAAATTCTGTGCCAAGTTCCCATCCAGGCAGCTTTCTGTACCCTAACGAAAGGGTTTTGTGGACAAGTTTTTTTGGGGTTTGTTTTTCTTTTGAGGTGCTGGGTATTGGATTTAGAGTCTCATGTATGCTATATAACCTTTTTACCACTGAGCTATATTCCCAATCATTTCCATTGATTAATTGACCAATTAATCAATCCATCCATTGATTGACTGATTGATGGATTGATTAGTTGACACAGGGCCTACTAAGTTTCCCAGGCATCCCTGAATTCACTCTGGAAGCTCCTATGTCTATTCAACATTAAAATCCCCTGCATCAGCCTCCCAATGAGGCTGAGATTAGTCCTGTGTCACGAGACCCAGCTATGTTCACACATTAAAAAATAAGCCAATAACACAAAGCTTTACATCCTTGATGTAAATCCGTAATCCCCACAGCACTTGGTAAGGCGACTGAACATGATCCCTGTTTTGCTACTGGGGAAACTGAAGACCAAAGTTATGTAATTTCTGCAATAGGGTTGTGCTAAGTTGAAAAGTTCGTGATCTTAGGGACCAGGAATGTTAGTATAGTAGCACCTCTCCCAAGGATGCTCACAAGTTCCCCAAGAAGCCATTCAAAAATCTGCCGCCTTCTGAAATCCTCCTCCCTGACCAGCTCCGTGCATCCGTGCATGCTGGTTATACCTGCACTCTCCTCTTGTAACAAGTTCACCTATTAAATATCACTATTCAGAAACACATATTCAAATCAGTGATTACAGGGGAATGCCTGTAATTCCAGCTCTCCAGAGGCTTAGCCTCAAGTTCAGCCTGGGCTACATAGAGACATCCTTTCTCAAAACCTCTGCATGAGAGCGGAGAAGTTATCTTAGTGGTTGAGAGCACTGGCCTGGGTTCAGCTCCCAGCACCCACATGGTGGCTCATAACCATCTGTAACTCCGGATCCTAAGGATTCTGGTGCCCTTTGCTGACCTCCTTGGGCACCAGACATGCAAGTGGCGCACAGACATACATACAAGCAAAATACCTACACACTTAAATCATTTTTAAAAACTCACAGGGGCTAGACAGATGGCTCAGCAGTTAAAAGCACTGGGTGCTCTTCCAGAGGACCCAGGTTCAATTCCATGCACTTACATGACAGCTAAGAACTGTCTGCAATTCATGTTCTAGGGGATCTGATACCCTTACACAGATATGTATGCAGGCAAAATACCAATGCGCATAAAATTAAAAAATGATTTAAAATGTATAAAAATCCCTCACGTGTATGTACACACACACACACACACACACACACACACTCTTAAAACTCCATTTTCTGCCAAGCCCCTGATGCTTTGACAGTGGTTCTCAATCTTCCTAATGCTGTGAGGCTTTAATCAAATTCCTCATGCTGTGATGACCCCCAAACATGAAATTATTTCATTGCTACTTCATACCTATAATTTTGCTACTGTTATGAACCTCAATGTAAATATCTGACATGTATCTCCAATAGTGAGCCTGAGAACCACTGCTGCATGGGAATGGTATTAAGGACTTTTTAAAAATAGGGACTAGTGCCGGGCGGTGGTGGCGCACGCCTTTAATCCCAGCACTCGGGAGGCAGAGCCAGGCGGATCTCTGTGAGTTCGAGGCCAGCCTGGTCTACAAAGCAAGTTCCAGGAAAGGCGCAAAGCTACACAGAGAAACCCTGTCTCGAAAAACCAAAAAAAAAAAAAAAAAAAAAGGGACTAGTTAGTGGGAGATGGCTCAGTGGTTAAAAACACTGGCTGCTCTTCCAGAGGCCCAGGGTTCAATTCCTAGTATTCATATGGCAGCTCACAACTGTCTACAGTTGTGTATGAGCCAATTCCCTCTTCTGATGTGAAGACATATATATGCAGACAAAACACCATATGCTGAAATTAAAAAAAAAAAAATATAGGAACTAGTTAACCTAAAACCACTATCATGTCAGGTTATAAACACATTCCCAATCAGCAATAAAAGTAAACAGCATATTCTGGGTACCCTGAAGACTTCATGAATATGTGACCCGGTTTGGTCCTCCACCCCCACCCCAACCCCCACACAGTTTCTCTTTGTGGATCTAGCTGTCCTGGAACTCAATTTGTAGACCAGGCCTGCCTCTGCCTCCTGAGGGCCACCATGCCTGGGCTCAGTGACAGGATTCTTATGTTAAGAACTTAAAAAGAATAGACGAAACAAGACCTGGTCTTGTCAACTAGTGCATAAAACAGTGTGTGAACCCATGGCCAAGGAGCTCCAAGTCAGGGCTGTGACTTTTGACAAAGAACTCAGAGCTGAACTCCAGCTGTGTTTAGTCAAGGTTTCCCCCAAACGAGATGCGTGTAAACCAGGAACAAACACATAACAGGACCTTACATAGCACAGGTACAGTGCCATCTAAATCAAGAAAAGAAGGAAAAGAATTGAGATGCTAAGTGAAATAACAGGGAAAGTTCAGGTGATGGATATAGTAGGCGGATATCAAATACCCTGTGGAGCTTTTCCATTGGTGGCTACTACCAATTCTCCTGTTCTTCAGTTCAGAAATGCCCTGTGTGTAATTAAAGCAATGTTCTCACCTGTGTGCCCTGGAAGATGAAATGCAAGCAGGAAATTCCATTTAAGGAGACATGCTGGCTGGTTTTATGTCACTTTGACACAAGCTAGAGTCACTTTGGGAAAAGGAGCCTCAGTTGAGAAAACGTTCCCACTAGGCTGACCTACGGCCAAGCCTGTGGTGCATTTTCTTGACTGGTGACTAATGAGAGGGCCCAGCTCACCGTGGGCACTGCCACCCCTGCCTGGCACTCTTGGGTGCTAAGAAGGCAGGCTGAGAAAGCCATGAAAAGGAAGCTGGCAGCAGCACTTCATGGCCTCTGCTTCAGGTCCCGCCTCCGGGTATCCTGCCTTGAGTTCCTGCCTTGGCTTCCTTGTGTGAGGGACTAAAAGCTGAAATAAACTCTTTCTTCCTCAACTGGCTTTAAAAATTATTTTTAATTGAAATAGAATTGCCTTATTTTTCTCTCTCCAGCTACTCCCACTTACCCTGACTGGATTCCCTTCTCATGAACCCCAATCCAGCTGACAGTCTTTCTTTTTTATTACATGCAAGTACGTGTATGTGGATACAGAGACACAAACAACCAAACAACCTGCTGATCCATTTTTATGGTTTCTGTGCCTATGGTTTCAGGGCTGACCCTGATGTACTGGATATCCAATACAGGGGCTCATCCCTACATCCCTAGAGGAGGCTAACTCTCCTTCTCCAAACATCATTAGTTGCCTCTCGTTCTTTGTCTAGGTGTGGAATCCATGAACATTTCCTCTTTCATGTCAGCCCGTCCATTTATATCGTCACGTTCCAAAACAAAACTGGACACAATGCAGAGCTCAACGGATCACAGGGAACACAGTCCCAATGGATACATCAGTATCATCTCGCCTGCATTTATGGCTTAGGGAACATCTGGGAAGGAGGGTCAGAAACATTGTAGGAGCAAGAACATCAGATATCAGCAAGTCTGCTTTGAAACAGTCTCTCCTAAGAATGACTGCATAAACCCAAGTTCTTTATGGCCATGGTGTTTTATCACAGCAATAGAAATCCTAAGAAGACGATGTATTTTCTGTTGGCTTCCTTACAAGGTCAAGAAAGGATCTGTGAATATGGTGACATCTTCATAATCAGGTAATGAAGTTACATCTGCAGTTCTCCCTTCCAGTCACTGTCTTAACAATAAGCATGCCACCAGGCAGGGGAAAATTCCAGGGATGTGACAAGCCTATCATGTAGTATCTTAGATTAATCATGAATGGGAGAAAGTTCTGGTTGTTCCATTCTTTGTGAAACAGAAAAACACAGTTAAGGTCCTTGAGATGACAAGGTGGAGGAGAAAGAGACAAGACGGGTGATATTCTACAGAGCATACTCGGTGCCCTTTACAGTCACTTAATTGTCCTTTCTAGAATGCATTTCAGTCTTTAAAATAGTGTTGAGAGGCTAACGTGTCCTTGGTCCCTTTGGCTGACTGCTTCAATCAGGCAGTTAGCCAAAAAAAGGAGGGGGGAACAACCCAGTGGCCTAAATATCTGTTGCCAAAAACACAACTAAAATGGGGACAGAAGTGAAGCCACAGTCCCTAGGGACTATTCAGTGATGGGAATTCTCTGGGCACAAAAATTCCTAGGAGAATTTTCCCTTCAAGTTCCCCAGGAATACACAACAGGATTTGTCCCTTCACGTTACTCAAATTCCTCTTTCAGGTCACTACAGTGCCAAATGTAGGCTTGCTCTGTGTCTTCAGAGACCCCCAGAGATGGATGGGTTCAGAGAAGAGGCTGCCATGGGCCAAGAGCTCCAGGGTTGGAAGTTGAATCTCAAGGTGCCAAAAGGTCATTTCTAGGTAAACCAAACAATTTTTGCTTTGCTAAAAGTTTTTCAACAGGGTGTATCTAGAAATATCTATCCTGGTACTCTAAACATAGCACACTAACGCTAAACAGTTCCCATGAAAACTCCCTGTGACCGGCAGTATGCATGGCCTCCCCCAACACTTACCGCTCAGATTGAGTGTTGACCTGCAGTCTTCTATGCTGAGTCATACCCTGGTCCTAGTCACAGTTGGTGCTTAACTAGTATTTACTTGTATTACTAGTATTAACTAGTATTTACTTGCTCAATATCAAAAGGATCTGGGAACTACCTTTGGGTCAATGATTTCATTTTGCAGAAGAAATTCAGGATGGGTGGGCTATAATTTCAGTACATTGACTACAGGTGCATGAAACAGCAGAGGAATCCGGGCATTGCACCCGAGTGCAATTTAACCACACTAGTCAAAGAGAAATAAGAGCAGCCTTCTTGTTTTTAAGCCTTAAAACTGTTACAGTTGGGGTCTTACACGTTCCTCAAGAGACTCCTGGGATAAAGGTTTGGTTCATACCTGATGGTGCCACTGGGTAGTGATGGGACCTTTGTGGGGTGGGACCTAATGGAAGGATGTCAATATCCCTTGGAGGGGTTGTTCAGCTGCACTCCTCCCCATAATCATAGGTGAACAGTCTCCTCCACTGTAAGCTCCCATAGCTCTATGGACCATCACCTTGCCAAAGGTCCAAAGGTGAATAGGCTTGATCCCAATTCTAACCTCTGAGACATGAGCCAAAATAAATGGTTCTTCCTACTGAGCACATTGTATGGGGTATTTTATCTCAGTGATAGAAGGCCGACTAAAAAACGTTCCAAGTTACTTCCCACAAGGAGATACGTTAACAGTGATATAATTTCTCTATTTCAAATGTAAAGACATTTATGGTTTGGGAAATAGAGACCTTTGGAAAGTTGTAAAAGCAGACATCAAATAACAGGACGTTGCATGCTCCCCACCTGGGGGAAGACTGTGAAGGCAGCTGAGGATGGAGGGCTGCTGTTTGCTTAATTTCACAGGGGTATGACTTTATGCTCTGATGGAAGATGTGAGTTTTCCTTGGAACGACAGCATGCAAATGCAGAAACTGCCCGAGATAAAAGGACACACTGTCTATTTCTGAAAATGCAAAACTTAATTATGTGATTAAGTAACAAAGAGTTACTTGACTCTTGTCTCAATATTTTTAGGCAAGTAAGAACTTAATTTGACCCTGGAGTCTCTTTACTAGTAACTTACAAAGACCCCCAGAGGCATGTGAATGGGATTTTCACCGTCACGGTAGACTGGGCAGCACTCCGCCAGCAACCTGGAAGAAACATCAGGCCCTGGTGGGCCATGATGGCCCACCATGTGAAACCACCTTTAGCCCTGCCCCGTTGCTTCAGTGAGGATCCTAGCTTCTTGGTCCCTGCGGTGGTCTGAATAAGAATGGTCCCCATAAGCACATATATTGGAATGCTTAGTCACCACAAGTGGCACGATTTGAAAGGATTAGAATGATTAGGAGGTGTGGGCTTGTTGGAGGAAGTGTGTTACTGAGGTAGGGTTTGAGGTTTCGAAATCCCATGCCAGGCCCAGGCACACACTCAACCTTCCTCTCTATCCTTTCTCCCCCCCTCTCCCTCTCTCTTTCTTTCTGCCTGCCGATCGGGATGTAGCACTCAGCTACTGCTCCAGTGCCATGCATGCCACCAAGCTCCCTGCCATGGTGGTAACGGACTAAACCCCTGAAACTGTAAGCCACTCCCCAGTTAGATGCTTTCCTTTCTATAAGACATCTTGGTCATGGTGTCTCTTCCGAGCAATGTAACAGTGGCTAAGACAGTCCCAGAGGGAGTCTTCACTGGAAGGACTGGTCCTCTCAATGGCAGAAGACCTGTAAGTGGACTTCTAGTGGCTATGTCCAACCAGTGTCCTACTGAGCTGTTTGTGGCTTGGCATAGTGAAGTGTAGACCCCAAACCTCCACTGATGGGCCTAGACCTAAAGCAGGGTCACTATCACCATGAACACACCTCTCAAACACAAGTCTCAACCAACTTCTTACTTCTGCCAGTTACGGAAGAAAGATCCTGTACATGCTCAAGGCAGTGATTTTAGCTACTTCAAACCTAGCGCTTCTGTAAATATGCCTGAGAGCATTATCTACCATGATCTCTATTTTCATATTATTTCAGTTACATCTTAAAGACAGTGGTTCTCAACCTGTGGGGGTCACATATCAGACATCCTGTGTATCAGATATTTACATTATGATTCATAAGAATAGCACAATTACAGTTATGAGATAGCAACAAAAATAATTTTATGGTTGGGGGGGTCACCATAACATGAGGAACTGTATTCAAGGGTCACAGCATTAAGAAGGCTGAGAACCACTGACTTAGACAAAAGCATGCTGGACCAGTAAGACGGATCAGGAGGTAAGACTGCTCACCGCCAACCCAGATGGCGACCTCCGTTCAGTCCCCAAACTCACACAGTGGAAGAAAAGGGCCAATTCCTTGATGTTGTCCTCTGACCTCCACACAAGTGTTTTTGGAAGGTACATGTCCCCCCTTCCAAAACAAGAAAATAAATATGTAGAAGATATTTAAAAAGTAATTTAAAAAGGAACCTGCAGTCTGTCTGCTGCTGGCTCCCTTCCCAACACTCATCCAGTACAAACCCATCCAGAAGACAGAGGAACGCCCACTGAGCATGCCGCTATGTGGCAAAGAAGGATCTTGTAGCTTAACCCAAGCCAGTTCCTTTCATTTTTCATATTCCTGGTTATTCCCTTTACTCACTCTTTAATAAAATCTGAAACTGCCAAGTGGTGGTGGCGCACGCCTTTAATCCCAGCACTTGGGAGGCAGAGGAAGGCAGATCTCTGTGAATTTGAGGCCAGCCTGGTCTAAAAAGGGAATTCCAAGACAGTCCAGGATACACAGAGAAACCCTGTCTTAAAAAAACCAAGAGATGGACAGACAGACAGACAGACAGAATAAAATGTACGACTATTATGTTTGTCATTGAATGCAGTGAAGAAAGAGAGCCCGACAAGACCTACTAGTTTATGAATAGCAGATACCCTGGTATACAGAATACACACTGCAACAGAGATAGCTGAATAGAGAGCAAGGACTGAGTCCCACACTCCCACCGATTCCCGTGTAAAAAGGGAGAGAACTACTGATCGTGATGAAGAATGGTTTTTTTCATAGGGATGGAATCCTTGCTCCCTCTCAAAAAAGGGGGGATGGAGAAAACCGTATTCCTCTGGGTTTTATACAGTAGGAATTAGCTTGGTGTATGGCTCCACGAAAACAGGTATGCTATTAATAGGAAGACACTGTTTATAGTTTCCACGTACATACACAGTTACTGGAGGGACAGGGCTTTCTGGAGACAGAGCTGTGCGGCCCCAGGGGCTTCTCGTGCACACGCCTGTTCATCCGTGCTGTGCTGGTCAGTGCATCCCCAGGGAGAGCTGGCAGGCTGCTTAGCTGAAGTGGGTTAGCTGATTTATGATGAGCAAGGAGGTAAGTCAGTCAAGCCATGAAGCTGAATTGTGGGAGCCCAAATTACTCAAGGTCAGAAAACCTGAGCTTGCTTTACCCAGCAGGGCTGCATAATAGGATGATTTGAGGACGGGCGTGGTTGCCAGGTATTTGGAGAGGTCTATACTTGGCTGTATGGTGTGCTTTGATCTTGCAAGGGAGAGATCTTTTGCCTATCCCCTTAGCATATTATAAAAAGTCCTTTTGAAAAAACCTCTGGGCTGTTGGGTATTGACCCAGGCCCTCCCGAAGCGATCCTGTGTCTCTGTCTTTCTCCTCCTCATCTAGGTCTATTTTCTATCTAATATTTTCTCATTCCTCTCTCCTCCACCCAAGAACCCTTTGATAGGTGGGGAGCAGGTCAGAGCTGGACTCCCTACTCCCAAACTGAATAACTAACTAGCCAATGGCTTCTACACTGTATGGAGAGATCTATGGGGAAGATGACCATAATGCAGCCATCACACGGTTCTGTTTTCACACACCAAGGACTGGGGATATACCTCAGTGGTAGGGTGTTTGTCTACTGTGGGCAAGACACCTCCTTTGGCATGCCCCACCCCAAAATTTTCATACAGTTGCCCATACTCTATTGTAATTGTTAAACAGCATTGTGGAATAGGTAGGGTTTTGAACACCAGAGTATCAAACTTGTATCACTATGATCAGACTCTCTTAATATCTTTAATAATTTGCCTTTGAGAGGTCGTCTCTGTGATAGGGGCACGACACACAATTTAGAAAGCAAATGGTCTCTAGATCTATCATTTAGTACTTGCTATTATGATCAATTGGGACTCTTCTTGGCTAAAGAGTATTTTAAAGTCTTTATGATGTTCCATAGAGGATATGCATTAATAATTGCAGCTCCCTCACAGAAGAAAGCACCTAACAATAATCTGCCAGTGGACCTAACCATGTTCCCAGTCCAAGTCTAGCTGCACCATGATAGCATTGTTCTGCATCAGCTGAGTCTGGCCTGTCCATGCATTTTTTCAGCAGCAGTAGCCCAAACATGGCTACTCAGCCCAAGGACCTCAGATATCTTTATATCATTCCAGCGGCTCAAAGGGACTGAGGCAGAGTCTGGCTAAAGAGCAAACCACATGCTCCTTCTCAGTGGAGCCATCTGCCTTTCCATGAGTGGAACAGAAAAAGCACCAGGACTTGGAATCTTGGAGAATGAAGATACTCCCCGCCCATCTTCAAGGTGGGTTTAGTGTGACCCTTCCTGTCCTTTTCCCACCCACACAGCTTCTCTAAACGAGTGCTACAGTACCCTTTTCTCAAAGTTCTGATGACCAAGGACTAAGAGGTTGTCTTTCACATCTGACACCAGAAGTGGCATTCCATAGATATCTTTCAGATAAAAAGAACTCTCTCTGTCTGCAGTAGAAAGGCAAGCTCTTCTGCTACACCCTTTTCTCCAAGTTCTTCCGAAACAAGAAGATCCTAATGCTAGGAGACAAACAGGCTGCCTAAATGAGAGTGAGAGCATCCTCCCTGATAGAATCCTCAGGCTGAGAGCTATCCGTCTCCATTCACACGCCATCCAGCCAGTTCAAGGAGGGGAGTACCAATGAGCCCTCGGATCAATATGGTGAAGTATGGAGATTGATCTCATCCTGGAGTGAGTGCATTGATGAGCTCCTCCACATGACCTTTGCTCCTTAGTACAAATTAGACTCTCCCACAAACCACAGTCTTGCATGGGGACCTTCAGTGTTCGCTTGCTTTTAATAAAGCACACTGCAGGCTGACCTCAAAGATGATGACTACTTAAAATATACCCTGTCTTTACACATGAGGAGGTCATGAAGAACATGCCTGTAATTATGATGTCACAAATGCATAAATAAAGTTATTATTTTAAGGGCATATTTTCTCATTTTGTTTTTACGGGTACCGTATATTTCCTGGCAGGAAAAGGACTGCTTGACTTAATTCTCTATTAAAACTTTAGTGAGATCTAGCCATGCTTCCTTCTCACTTGGGCAGTGGTGGAACATGGTTTTAGTCCCAGCACTCAGGAGGCAGAGGCAGGTGGATCTCTGTGAGTTTGAGGCAAGCCTGGTCTACAGAGCGAGTTCCAGGACATCCAAAGCTACACAAAGACACCTTGTCTTGAAAAACAAGCAAAGAGACAAACAAACAAACATATCTGTGTTCTCAGAGCCTAATACACCTACAGTCCATCTTGAGACCTCAGTGGGACAATGCATATTTAACAAAATGAGCAGTTCACCGGTGCTGATGGTTGATGTACCCCATTTTGAATAAAATCTGCAGGAAGCCACAACAACCCCGCATGTGCACATGTGAGCATGCTCTAACATGTTGTTGTGGTCATACACTAACATTTGAGGCACAGGAATAGAGATGGAGGTCATTTGCTCAACAGTTAAGGGGTCAGAAAGTGGACACAAACCCAGGCTCCTTCAGGGGCTAAGAGAAACAGTGTGAAGTTGGACAGACAACACAGCCAATGGAGCCTTTGTTTATTCCCACTTCTGTCAAGTTCTGAGTGACACTGATGCATGGCTGTGAGGGTTAATTGAGCTAATGTGTAAATAGGACTTGAGACAAAACTTGGGCTCAACAAATAATAACCAGTAAAGAGTATATCCCTTTTTCCCCATGATCCCTAGCTCAATCAAAAAAACGACAAAGGCAGTTCAATGTAAAATCACTTTCAAAGCAATAATTCCAGGCTTTCCTTTGGACACAATCTCCTTGATTAATTCCCTTACCCGTCCTGGGAGTTAATCAGAAAGAAACCCTAGTTGTCAGAGAAAACCAGACAGACCCTGACTTCAGGTACATAAGTCTATTGAGACCTGCTGGCCCTTAAAAGAAATCCAAAAGGTGGTTGAGAGCAGGGTGACACCAGAAGGTCTTCAGAAATTCCATCATACTCCAAAGGGTCTCTCTCTGTCCCGTGTGAGTGTGTGTGTGTGTGTGTGTGTCTGTCTGTCTGTCTGTCTGTCTGTCTGTCTGTCTTTACCTATACTGGGGAAGTAATGATGGCTGGATTCCTAAGCCGTAGCAAATAGCTACGTACCCAATACAAATATCGATGCTCCCCTGCATACTTCACATGTACCTCTTCCCACCCTGAGTCAGGAGTGCAGCCAAAGAACCCCGGTCTGAGAAGAGCTAGGGTACCAAGAAGGGTTTCTGTTCCTTCCCGTGTTCCCCTCACTATTCAACTGACTTGAAAACCTCCAAAGTTGAAGCTAGACCTGGTGAGGCACACCTATAATTTCATCTCAGAAGATGGACCCGAATGATGGCAATCAAGTTAGTGAGACACCATCTTCAAACAGTGAATGGGAGGCTGGAGAAAGGGCTCTTCAGAAACCCGGGTTCAAATCCCAGCACCCACATCGCAGCTCACAACTGTCTGTAACTCCAAGGTCTGACACCCTCACACGGACATACACGCAGGCAAAACACCAATGCACATAAAATAATAAAAATAAATTATATAAAAAAAAAAAACAGTAAATGGAAACTGGCTATGAAGTTCAGTGCAGGCCGTGAACAAGGCCCTAGGTTCTACCCCAGTTCTATAAAAAAGAAAACCTAAGATAGAAAAGAAAGAAAACTCTATTTGGGGCTGGTGTCAAGCTTTCTCAGACTTGGATCCACATGAAAGAGTAGCTATCGTAAGAGTGATAACATTTAAGACAGTGGCTTTCTAAGTCTGGTCAGAGAGCACATGAGGTGAAAACTATTTTCTCAATTATACCGAAGATGTCATTTGCTCTCTCATCTCCCCCGACCCTCCACCTCCCAGGAGCACCTCGCGGCTGCGGATGTAATGACATCATCACTCCGGTGGCAAATGGAATGTGTGCTTTGGGGATTCTGTTTTTAACTCTCCATACATTAATTTGATAGTCACAATGGACAGAGCTGGGGGGCGGGGTGGCTCAGTGGTTGGGCAGTAAGTGCTCAGCCTGTGGAAGACATTGATTCTATCTCTAGACCCACCGAGGAGGAGGTGGTGGTGGTGGTGGTGGTGGTGGTGGTGGTGGTGGTGGTGATTATTTTGTTTTCAAAAATGCCAAACATCTTGAGATCAAAAGATTTGAGGACCTCTATTTCTCTTAAATCCACCTCAATCATTTCCAATCATCATAAATGAGTTCTAGAGACTACTAGGTTCAAAACTCTGTGCTTGGGTTATGGGACAAATGGTGATGAGCAAGGGTTGGGGACACAAATGTGTTAGCTTGGGAGAAAGCATGCAATGGTAACCTTCACCTGGACCAGATTCTGTGAGCTGGAATACTTTGCAGCTCCACTTCAGTTGGTCAAAAATCAGCTTTGGTCTGGGGACAGGAAGATACTTGTTGCCTAGTTGGGGTGTTTTGAGGTTTTTCTGTACGTGCACTGGAAAGCTGTGAACGATATGATCAAATCACAAACGCAGAGCTAAATTCATAGAGTATGGGAATGCTGGACAGCTAACGGAGGTCCTAGCCAACAATTCCAAAGCCTACATAAGAGACGGAGGCCACTCAATAAAGCCCCTCCAGATACCTCAGAGTCTAAAAATTTTCTTTGTTTGTATGTCCCCAATTTTAACCTAGGTCAGGGTTACAGAAAAAAAAAAAAAAAAAAAAGACACGAGTTTGCTGCGTTGTGGCCGTCCTTTACGGGACTTCTATTATTGAATAGACTTGCCATATTGTAAGGTAATTAGCAAGCTTTTGAGTTCTAAAAAAGTTTCCGGAACTCATTCTCTCCCCGCCCTCATACCTTTCCATTAATAATAGACTTAATTATTTGGCATAAATAAAACTTGTTTGGCATACTAATAAAAGAAAGGCTAAAAGGCTCTTAACAAATGAATCATATGTACTCTGGTGGCTCTTCCCATTTTTTTTTTCATTTTCTCCCCCACTTCCAGGCAGGGATTTAGTATCTCCACTGCTGGATGGGTAGACAGATACACACACTGCTCCTGAGTAAAAACTCCACTCCCTCCACCCTCTCCCCGCCAGAGGTGACTAGCTTACCTTACATCAGACCCTAGACGAATGAGACAGCCACCCACTCACAATGTCTCAGAATTCTGCTAAACTATGGTCACATGGATGCCATGCGTGGGATTTTGACTTTAAACGCACCCAATTTCCAAACCAGGAGCCCTCTGGTATGGCAGAAGCCAATGAGCTGTACCCAGGGCCTTGAGTTAACATCAAGCATTTGTTAGGTAGACCAAACAGCACCTGGGACTTTTAGGCTTGGGTAAACTGATGTTTCTTGAATATATGTTATCCACCAGGAACTTGATTTGTGTTACGTCATGTAATCCCCAGTAAGATCTCTGAAAGAGACATGTTTTACAGCTGAGTTAATAACCTGCAACCAGGAAAGGATGTGTGGCCACTTCCACCCCAAGGACTACCACTACCAGCAAGAAGATTTCTCATGAATTGGGGGCCACTCCAGGCAGGTCCCCTGCCCGACTCTCATCTTCAAGTTTTAACACAGCTCTCTGAATGAGTCCTAGGATGGACCTTTTATCAGATATTGATTACCATTTAGTAGCATTCAGCCACATTGTGACTTTGTGCCTAGAAAACCTGGTCCTCCTATGTAAGCAAGCTTGTTTTCTTCTTATATATCTCACAGCTATAGAGTGCACTCTACCCAGAATGGCATTTTTTTTTTACACTAGAAATGTTTATTGCTCGTGTTATCAACTAAATTAGAGAGGTTACTACAAAGAAATTAGTGCACTGTTACATGAACTTGTTATTTGATAAACATAATAGACAATTCTGAGGATTAAACAAGACAAATTTCTCTGAAAGCCTACGTAATGGGAAAATATTCACTTAGAGTCTATCAACTCTATTTAACTTTGTCTAGGTGGCTCAGTGGGGTAAGGTGCTTATCCCCAAGAACGACAACCCTAAATGAATTTGCCAAACTCACATACCATCTTGATATATGCACCATGGCATATGTCTCCCCACACACGCACACATGCACAATGAATAAATAAGTATAGTATTTAAAAAAGAACAAATGAAACCACCTCAAGTGTCTGTTCTCATATTTCCATCATTTTGTGATCAGTTCACTTTAAATTATAAACTAGGTAGTCATAGCCGAGTGTGGTGGTGCACGCCTTTAGTCTCAGCACTTGGGAGGCAAAGGCAGGCAATCTCTGAGTTCCAGGATAGCCAAAGATATAAAGAGAAAATCTGTTTCAAAAAACAAAACAAACAAAGTGTTTACCATTAAAAATAGGGGGGTGGGGTGGCTAGTGAAATGACTCGGTGGGCCAAACGCCTGCCTTGAAGCCTGACAACTTGAGTTTGATCCCCAAAGCCAACGTTTAAAATATCATTTTTTTAAAGAAGGAGCTGGATGCAGTGGTGGACATTTGCAATCCCAGCATTCTAAAGCAAGGTGGACCAGCTAGCTAACGAGAGAGAGCCTGCCTCAACAAGGAATAACCCTCATGAAGCTTGTCTTCTGTCCTTCACAGCCACATCATGGTGCTCAAGCACAGGTATGTGTGCTCGCATGAGCGCGCGCACGCACACCATGCAGATACACACATACATTCACATGCACACACACACAAATGAAATTTTATTTCTCTTTGAAGCATTATTGTTTATTTTTTCCCTTTCACTATGACCTTCAGAAAAGGACCCTAATATAGAGGCACATGCCTGACATTCCAGCACTTGGGAGGCTGGATAGGATGACCAGCCTGGGCTACACAGCAAGACCCTTTCTCCAACAAAGAAATAA